AACAGGTCAACCAGCTAATTGAACAACAAAAATGAAAGAAAAAATAACAGCAATAACGGCATAATCTTCATTTAAATTTTAAAGTACTTTGATATTATTTATATTTGTCTTGTTTCTAACATTACTGTTTAATAATCTTTTCTACAGGTGCAAGGATAACACGATCTTGAAAATGACAGATCAATCAGCTGGCAAAGGACCGCCAAGTGTTATTATGCTGGTGTTTTCAGTCCTTACACACATCCTCTTGTTGGCACCAGTAATATACATCGTGACTTTGGCTTTTGAGAAGTACAGCTTCTTCTCGTGGCATCCGATTTGCATGACCGTCGGGGTAAGTAGTCAACCAACGCTAATTACACAACGAAACAACGAATAATAGAAGCACGTGGATCTGGAATCTAGGTGCTTGACTCCTACTACATTACATCAGTAACTCAACACTGTTGTTAAGAATTCCATTGCACAAAAATTAATAGATGAAGCAACTTGTTGGTTCGTGCTCGAGAGGACGAGTTAGTGTAACTCTTTTGTTTTAAAGTCAGTTACGAACTGCGTTTCGCAATGATACGATTGCAATAAATACGTTTCTTTAAGAATTTGTATATTGATGTAAAGAAATGAAATTTCATTCCAGAGCATTTTTTTTTCTTCTTCTTTTGAAAGTTAATAAAGTTTAACCAATGCAATTGGATCATTCGTAAAGGATTTTTTTAGAAGGATAAATTGAAGAAATTCGGTTAAAATAACAGAAATAAAGAACACGATAACCCACAGTAATAAAGTAAGAAAAATTTCAAAATGTCGAAGTTAATCTCTTTGTTGTGAATTTCTTTACAAAGCATGTAGAAAGTTTCGAACGTGAAATGCGATCTATCAAGGATCTGAGAGTGATACGCTCTTTATAGTAACCATAATCGAGGATGTAATGGAGATTTTATAGAGACTATCCTACGGCATTCGGTTCAAAATATTTTTGCTAGTAACTACGACATCGATGAAATCACTCGTTTCGTATTTTATTTCCAGCTATTAATTTTCCTACGAAGCGGGAAAAATCTTACATGTGATTCATTAGACTATTAAAGCGTCAATTTTCTCGCAATGCGTCGTCTTGAATTTGAAAATATCCCGATGTACTTAATATAGAACAACCCAATAGAATATCATTAACATGGAAGTATTTCTTTTTGCATCTTTAAGAATGAACATGCAGTGGTTCATAAAAGTATTTGAAATTTTTTACGGAGATAAAATATACTGAAATTTCATTAACACTGCAATGAGTCACGTTGCAACTATACACTTCGCATACCAAAGTATTTGAACAATCAGTTATTCACTACGTACATTCAATTTTGAATAATACTCGCGACAACTGTTGTATAGTGATCTTTTACGAAACCTATGCTCAAAGTTTTATATTATACTTTCTTACGTTTTCAGATTAGTTTCGATAAGTTTTCTTTTTCATCTAACGTTTCAAAAACAATTTCATTTTCAATACAAATAAAAATGCACTAATAAATATTCTCTATGTGCAAACTGTGCGAATACTTTCACGAGCCACTGTAGATTATAATGAATACAACAGATTATAATACAAATATCTCGAATTTACACTGTCCAGATATTTCCGAAACTGAAAGAAGAAAATGATTCTCTAACATTGCCCAGAGTTTCGTATGTGAAAAGCATAAAATCCTAGACATGATTCAGAGACCTTCATCCAAGTGTTCCGACTCTTAGGTCATCTTCGTAGTTGGAAGAATGCTGAGTTCTACTTATTCACAACTACTCTGAACAATGTTCTTAGATGAACCAAATATAGTTGAATCTAAAAGACACCTATAAGTCGTTAGAAACAAGTAACAAATACAACTTCAAAGATCTACGATAAAAAAAACGAGATCATCTAACACATTGAACTTGTTGCTAACCTAATCACGAAGATTCTCTTCTTTTTTTTTTTTTTTT